ATTATAGTAAGATGCCTCACACACAATCATGGTATGTTATATGACAAAAGTGAAGTTACTGAGGGAGTGAGTATCTGGCTTAAGCAGGTGGGCCCTTTAAAAGTAGAATTTTCTCCCTCTGGCTGCAGAATTTAGGGGGACTTTTAGCGAAAACTACAGGAGCTGATTGTAGGCCTGATAAGGAAACAGAGATTTCAGTCTTATAGTTGCATGAACTAATATTAGCCAGTAAGAAGAATGAATTTGGAAAAATGTTTTTTTAGTCTTGGAGAAGAATTTAGCCCAACTAATACCTTGATTCTGGCCTTAGGATACCATCACTAGAGGACCAAGCCTCATCAATTCAGACTTCTCACAGAATAGTGGGCTAAAAGATGGTTATTTCAAGCCTCTAAATTTGTGACCATTTCTAACTAATACAACTAATGAATTCTAAAACTTATCTGGATGAGAAATTACTCACAGCTGGTATTTTTAAAACTTTGTTCTTACTCTGCCCACATCCCTGTCTCCCTGTAATATCGCAACACAAACAACTATGCAAGTCAGGAATCTTTAATGCCTGATTCTAACTTTTAGAACTATTTCCCACTCTTGTCTGTCCCCATTTGCAGCTACCTGCTTAGATTTTATCATTCAACATTGTAATAATTTACTTTCGAATCCCAAGTTCACTCTACCATATTCATCTTAAAAGCCCCAAGTCTGATAGCATCCACCTCATTGCCTAATGCTGGAATCAGCTGGAAATATAGATGACCATGATCTCAACTATATTCCAGGAAGAATTCATCAAATCTCAGGTCATTGGATTTAATCAACCTCTCACTCTCACTCACTTGCCCTCTAATCTCCCATTTTCATTTCAATCACAGCACTTCTTTCTTTTTTCCAGTGAAAACCCTTGCTAACTACTTTGCTAACAAATAGATGAGGAAGAGAAGAAGTAAAGAAAAGGAGGAAAGGAAGGAAGAGGAGGAAGAAGGGATTGAAAGGTTTCTTGTAAATACTTAAGATTGAACACAGGGCCTTCACACTGAGCTACATCCCTAGCCCTTTATTTCCTTTTTAGTTTATTCAGGGTCACACTAAATCACTAAGTTGTCAGAAGAGAATTTTTATAACGTTCCAACACAAGTGGCCAAAATTTTTGCATCTATGTCTGTATAATTCAGTTCATGCTATTTCTTGAGTACTTGCTCATAGGAATGTTCTACAAAAAGGGAAAATTAATTCAGCTCCTTGGATGTTAGAAATGTTAGAGACATAAAAGATACCTGTGATTTATGGTATTCAGGATTCCCTGAACTAGAATGATTTTTTCCCTCCATACAGAGTAGTTTTTGAGAAATAGTGATTAAACATTTGAAAAAACATCAACATTTTTCTCTTGGAGCAATTAATGTTATCTTTTTATACAATTTGTGACAGATACCAGTTCAAGTAAAGGTTAGTCAAATGATACTGGAGAAAAAAACCTTAATAATTAATATTTCATATTCTTCTTTGTTTTTAAAGGTGTTTCATAATAAGAATGTGAAATTTAAACCTTACTGTACACATCCTAGAACCAGAACACCCTCAAACTTGAACTTAGAGACCCAGCCAGAGGCTCTACAATAGTGATTCATAGAGATCTGAGAGTAGAGTGCACATTATTTTCAACTTCCTGCCAAGATTGTAAATGGTAAACAGTATCAGTCCTTCCTGAGAAAAAGGAAAACAACCTGAATTACCAAGAAATGGTTATTTATTTAGAGACCTAAACTTACTACTTAAGATCTCATAACAAACAAAGCACTCATTTAAATTCTTTCAATATCCCAGCCACTTATCTATGGTAAACTTTTAGACAACCATGTTAAAAGATTCATTTTTTTAAAAATACATTTTCTGGTATTCAAACAATATACAAAATACACACTGAATTCAACTCAACTAAGGAGACATAAACCAAGGGAAAATGGCCTGTAATCATAAAAAAGGGACAAGAAAATAAGGAAGGCTCTTACAAATGGGTTTTATGTGTAAGCTAAAAATGAGAACTTCAATCAGACCTGCAGGTGTAAACAAAGTATTGTCTCACTAGTGTAAGAACCTGAAAGAGTGAATAAAAATTAGGGGGTATGACAGACATTGTGAAATGAAAGGAAAATGCTCAAAAATAAAGAACAACTGGAATGAGGGAAAAAAGAAAGGAAAGAAGGAGAAAATTATGTATATGAGTATATACAGGATAGCTAACATAGTTGTACTACTGACTTCTAACACTTTATTGAAATGAACAGTTAATGTTTAATAGTTTGATCAATCTTGCATGTCTATATTTGTTTTCCTGAGTAACCACTTTGAAGATATCAATATGTAATACGGCAACCATTGTTAATTTCCTATTACCTTGTCTGAAATTCAGTATTGCTTGTATAGTTCTTGTATTATTTCATAAATGTATGTGTGTTTGTTAATATGTTTTCATTCTTTTATTTTTAAAATAAAAAATGTTTGTGCAAGGAGACAGAAACCTGTCTCTAAACAGATTTTAATCCATAAAAAAGGAAAACTAAAATAATATGCTTCATTTTAAAGGGAAGGGGACAAAAATATAGAAAAAAAATTTAAAATTACCTTTAACATTTTAAAATATTTGTTTATAAGATAATAGAAACCAGAAAGGATGGAAATAGGAGAGCTGAATGTAGTTTTACACATCTGTATTCCCAGCACTCTGGGAGGCTGAAGCAGGAGCATCGCAGGCTCCAGCCTTTCCAGGCAGTTTTGTGAGACTCTGTCTCAAAATTTTTAAAAATGAAAAAAATAAATTAATTAAAATTAGAATTCAAAAAAATTTAAAAATTACAAGGGTGGTGGCTACAGCTCAGTGCCAAGGCCCTGAGTTCATTCCCCAGTACCACAAAAGAAGGAAATGAAAGAAAGCAGAAGAGGAGAAGTCCAGAATAAGAAAGAAATGTAGATTACCTTACATCCTCAGGAGCTAATAACTGGTAACAATTTCTGGGCATTCTCTGCACCAGGTCGCATCCCAAGTACTTTGCATGTATCATTGCTCTTACCCTCAGTGCAATGCTACAGGACAGGGACATTATCGGGCATATTTTATAGTTGGGCAAACTAGTCTGCATAAAGATTAATTAACTTACCTAGCATCATATGGCTGGGAAGAAATGGCAGTAGGAGCTAAGTCCCAAGAATCTTGCTCCTGAGTCCACCTTTCCAGGCTGAGCATGGAACCACATGTGGATGTCATTGGCCCCTGGCATAGGAAGCCTAGAGTAGCTTTTACAAAGGAATACTACACAGTGAGCACAGAGTGATCATCAAGTGGTAAGAACCACTGCAAAACCCATATTTTAATCACTCCAGCTCAGTAGCACCAGCTTGTTGGTTCCCAGCTTGATTTCTTCCTCAACTTCCTCCTATGGCTTTTCTAGAACTTCTCGGAATCTGACGATATTTTTGAGCTTTATGAAGTGAAGATGACCTGCTAACTGGGATGTTTTCTGATTTTTTGAACATAAGTGACAGGAGGCATTTGTCACCAACAACTTTCTAAATGGTTCAGGTAATTTTCAACAGAAAAAATGGTCCAACAATAGAGTGATTGCTAACTTATCCTAAATAGTTAAAAACAACAAAAAGAATTAGTTTTTTTTAGTCAACAAAAAAATAGGCTGTGTGCGTTTATGACTCATCAGGCTGGAGTGCCGTAGAAGTACACTCTCATATTAATAAGAGGAGGTTAAACAGTAAAACAAATAAACAAGAACCAAACATATTGAAAGAATGGAAGATCAGTCTATTATCCTTAAATCCACTAGGACTGTTATTCTAAAACTATGCAGAAACTTTGAGAAAATTCATATGAAAACAAAAATGTCAAAGGATCGGCTTGAGAAACTTGCATTACAGCATTTGGGGATGAAAGGAAGAACGAATTTCAAAGATTCTTTTGGGAAAATAAGAATAAGAGATGGAAGGAGTAGGGAGGGAAGAGAAAGGTAGGGGATGTAAAGGGAATTTTGATGTGTTGTATAGATGTACCAGCTCCCCATGATGAATGTAATCATTATGTACTGCAAACCCGGACTCATAAAAATAAAAACTGAAAAAACAAATTACAGAAGAACAGAAGAAATGTTGAAATCCTAGAGAAAATATATAAAGATATTTATCTCTGTACAACATTATTACCTAAGTAAATTAGTATACATATCATGTAACATAGAAATTCTTGAGTATATTGTTAAAATTTTCCTTGATAACTGAGAAAGAAATATGCTACATTAAGAGGAAATAAATTCATTTGGGCCAATCTAGGGGAAGTCTGTGAAGTGGTTTGCAAATCTGTTCCTTACACAGCATGTATGTAGTTTTCATCTTCAAACATAAAACCAACTAATGTGAAAGGTCTAGAAAACCTAGCCAAGTGACTTTTAAATTCTACCTTGGATAATTCTAAACCAAAGTAGGGACTAGCTGCATACATACCCACAACACACACACACACACACACACACACACACACAGAGAACAAGATGGGGTGGGGAGCTTAATCAACTTCAGGTTCTATAACCAAATACCATGGAGAGGTAGTTCAAACACAAACAGTTGAGCAGGTTCAAAATCTAAGATCAGGGTGCTAAGAAGATCTTGTTCTTTGTCAGGTTGCTCCTCCTGGTTTACAAAAAGTTCTGACCTTCTTGTGCTCTTCTTTGGTAGAAAAAGAGCTAGCTATCCCTTTGATTTTTCTCATAAGGAAATAATCCTATTGATGAGGACTTCTCCCTCGCTTAGGACCAAATTACTTCCCAAAGACCTCAATTCCTAATTCCATCACATTAAGATTTGGGTTTTAATATATAAATTTTGGGAAGACACAGACATTCAGCTGATAATAGAACATTATTCAGGAAAGTACGCAAGTCGGTCTTGTACTTTTCCATACTCCAATCTCTGTTACCTAAGGAGGTCAAGTCTCCTACCTCTGTGACAGTCAGTGGTGCCTTGCATTAAACTTTTCCACTTCTCTCCCAGGGCTGTGTTTTCTGACCACTTTTCATGTCAGGTGAGGCCTGGTTAACTACTCTAGCGAACAAGATGTTAGCTTCATTTCTGGAAGAACATGAAATTGTCACTGACAGACCCTCCAATTGCTTCACGATATTTTCCCCTGGAATGAGTAATGTTTACATTTGGCTCTATTCCATCAGTATAGGTTACTTAGATACAACAGAAAGGAGTTCCACCACCACACCCCCCAAATAAAAGCTGGCAAGGGAAATGGAGCATGAGCAAAAAATTAACTGTGATATTTATGTCATTGATATTTGGGGAGTTCTTCGCTCAGTCAACACCACTCTGCACACTGTCTCCAATTTTATTAGCAATAATCAATTTAATAGAGTAATATTTTAAAATTTTGGATAATATAGAAGTTTTTAAAAAGAATAAATTATAATTGCTTTAAGTTTTAAATTATTAATACATTTTAACATTAAAATTTCATAAGTTCCATATGCTTAGGACAATTTGCAACATGCAAAATGGTATTACTATAATTAATTTTTACATCTACAAATTAACTTTCAAAATAGACACAATAATGCAATTTCATGGATGCTATTGTTCTGATCAAGTTAAATTGCCACCAGGACATAAATAGGGCATCAATACAACTCAGACAATATTTTGAGACCAATGTACGAATGCCTAGCAAACGCCATAGGATGACTCAATTTTCCCACAGATTTCTATAGTAAAACTTACACAAATCTGCTCCTTTTGTTACTTTCTTTTTATTTTTTTGGTTTTTTCTCCGGTACCGGGAACCAAACTCATGACCTTGCGCTTGCCAGGCAGGCGCTTTTGCCGCTGAGCTAAATCCCCAGCCCCAAATCTGCTCCTTTTGGAATGAATGCATTGTGACATTATTTAGCACTTCCATAACTAAGATGAATTATTTTTGTGTTGCCTGACCTTGTCTTATTTTGTTACTCTGATATAATTAGAATGATACATATTACTGTCCACTCACTTATGTGTATGTGTACCTTCTCAAAAGGGTGGTCAGTCAGGATAGGCCACATGAAAGTACCCCAAAATGAAACCAAAACTTTATAAAATCCAGAAGTATGTAGGTTCCTATATTGTTTATCACCTATTTGAACAATGCTGTATTAAAGAATTAAGGTGCCTCACTGCAAGAAAGATTAGATAATCATAAATTTTTGCCCTCTTTTACTATCTTAAATTTCACCTATTTGATAGCTAATGAATTTCTATATTCTATCAAGGACTTATGTCCTTCCTCAAACTTCATTCTCTGAAGATTTCAATAGCCAGTTTTTTACCTAGCTGGGATATCACCATCAAGCATTTGAACTTCAAGCTCACAAATGCTGATAGTCCCGGCAAGTGGCACTCTAATTCGGCCTCACCTGGCTTTAAGGGGTAAGCTATTATTTGGGTGAGGCCAGTCTTGAATTCCAATTTACTTAATAATAAAGAGGAATACATAGGGTGTGGCATGAATATACATGAGTGGTACTCTAAAGATAAAAAGACAGTTATCAAATCTGACATAAGATGTGCCCAGTAGAACCACAGGAGCCAGTATAAATATAAAAGTTATGTTTCTAAAAAAAGGACCATTTTATACATGTGTGCACATATACTATGCCATACTATTTTTATCTGCTAAATATCAAAGACAGTCATAATCATGTCAAAATGCTTTACTTTGAAAACTTTTCATTTTTCTTTATTCAAAACATTTTGATCCTTTACCACAAGTTTGAGGCCAGCCTGGGCTACCTAGAGAGTCCACGGCCACTCTGAACTCAAGCAGTGAACCCCCATCTCAAAAATCCCCCCACCAATTTTTCAGTGCTAACTTTTAAATTATGATTGAATATATGGATACCTAATAGGCACAAATTAATAAATTATTACCTGATATGGATCCTAAACAAAATTCTTTCTCAATACAGATTTTGCAGAACTGGAAAATTAATATAAGAGCCAAAGCCTAATAGAGATTCCTTCTTGTTGATTATTTTGTTAAAAGAGGAATTGGTTATGCTTGTTTTCCATTTCCAAAGCCTGAGCAGATAATTCTAAAACATGAAATTTCTGGCACCAACCACAGCTTCAAAGTGACAACAAAACTAAAATGTGTTGGTTATTTTCAAATCAAGACAAATGGAAGCATTTCAACTGCAAGTTTTTTGCCAATAATAACCCAAATTTTTGGTTTCGAGAGTCTGCCTGTGAGCTATTAATGACAGAATGGTCCTGGACATGTTACCATGACTTCTGCTATTTCAAAATTCAATTTGGTATTGGCAAGAGCAATAAACATTACTCCTAAGAATGTCTGCTTTCTGTTTTGTGAAAATAGTCCTTCCTTGCAAAACACAATCACTGTGATACACACGGACCCTGTAAATAAGTAAAAAGAATCAAAACCACAGAAAATAATGCCATAATTGATGAACGGCTTGCTCATATGACCACCTTTCGGTCGCAGTGGCTAAACTAATCTGAACATTCTTCTTTAATGGACATTTCACAGCTATCTGCAAATAACTGACAGTAATAGAGCACCTACCACATTACTCAAGGTTCTGTACAAAAAATAGAAACCACGTGAGATATTTCAAGCAGACGGGATTAGCTACAAAAAATGTTTAGAAGACTGAGCAAAAAACAGCATGTGAACTCACGCGGCTATTAATACCTACAGGAAGCAGCTATTCTCCCCAGAGCCAGGGAAATGAAAGGGCGGAGGTGTAGAAGCCTGCAGGCCACTTACTAATGTACTCTGGGGTGATTCAAAAGGTCTTGGAAAAAGAAAGAAGGGGCCTCTGTTAGTATTTGGTGCATGGATGAAGTGCCAGGTAGTAAGTGCTGGGACCACCAGGGTAAGATGTATTTCTCTGCCAACACAGCCCGCTGTATGTGTCTATTGCTGAAACCAGTGAAGTTACGCTGCTCTGGAGAAGCTACCAAAGAGTTTCGCTTACAGTGCTGAAAGAGCCAATGCCAGCACCACAGGGCAGGAACGGGATATCTGATGCGGCATCAGTGCTGGACTCAAGCAAGAGTTCTGTGCTAGGGCCCTGGAGCTGCTAGAAGATCTTCCTGCAGAAGGAGGCCCAAAAGCTGGACACAGGAAATGAGTCACTTCCCTTCTTCTTCATTTTTCATTCTCTTTCCAGAACCTCTCATTGGGAAAATCTTTTCTTTTTTGGTACCGGAAATCGAACTCAGGACCTTGCACTTGCCAGGCAGGCACTTATGCCCCTGAGCTATATCCCCAGCTCACTGGGAAAATCTAATGGAAATCTTGTTGACAATTAAAACCTTGGAATGGTAATCTGAAGATATCAGAAATCTACAATGCATAGAAGAGCACAGCAGGAAAGGAATGGACATCTAGTGCAAACAGGCAAATGGATGTCGCATCTGCTATCTTCACTGCCTTTTTTTCTGCAGTATTTATCTGACAAGAGTATGTGTGGCATTGTTAATAAAAATTTTATAACTTTTGTTATCTTACTAAAGAAACAATAACAAATAAAATGACATAACTATGAGTTCAGGATACAACAATGTAAAATATAATGAACTAGTAACTTTAAGCACTGAAGAAATTCTGTGTTTTTTTTTAGTTTAATAAAGGTATATTTAGTAGATTTATACAAATTATAAAACAATACTATATCCATCTGTACTTATTTATGTGCAACCATACAGTGTTCTTAAATCTTTATTATTCTGTTCAAATTCCCGTATATCATGTTGTTGAGCAGATAACCTATTTAAGAAGTAAACAGTCAGGGGGAAAATATGAGTCTGTGCTAAATTACAGATGGCCTCGAAATCTCCGCTATTGTCCTTGAGATTCTCTTAAATCTAGAGTGTCTGTAGGACTAATAAAACACAGGGATTTCCAAATCTAGATGAAAGAAACTTTGCAGCTTCTCCCTGAAGCCTCTTCGAAAATTTGGTCTGCATAGAAGCCGCAGCCATGCAAAAAGTTTAACTGCCCCAAGACCACCGGGCTGGAGAGACCATGTAAAATTTTTACTGATAGTTTCCACTGAACTCCAAGCTCTATTCGTCTCCTCCAAAGTGGCAGATGTGCATGTGAACCCTTTTTGTACCCCTCAGACGAGTCCACTTGCAAATTGGGTACCAGAGTCAGTGGGACAAACAGAGGAACCAACCAGCCTATCCCTACCTAAACTCTCTGCCACTAAGTGATGAAATATTTGGAGTCATTTGCTACGGAGCAATAGATAATGAAATGTGGCTGCTCAAATAATGAAAGAAATGCACACTATAGAAAATACCTTTGTTAAATGTACCCAGATTAGTATGGCCGTAATTAGCTAACATAAATTATAAAACAGCATTCATGAAGCTTCAAGGATGACATACTCCCATTTCTTACTGATGACAGTTACTGCAGCACTTGAGGAAACCCGTCTGGCTACGTCAGTCTGAGACCAGTGTACCTATGGCTTCTCGCTGGGAGAGGTCCCTTCAAGTTAGGAGTTCCCTGCCAGTTAACGTTTATAATTCCATATTCTTTTTCCAAGGAGCACCACCCAACAAGGTGAATGAGCTTCAGGCTCCACAACATAGATTAGCTCTAGGGAGGATATACTGCATATTCTCTAAGAAAAGCATTCAAAAGAAAGGGAGGGACAGCTATATTTAAAAACCTCTCTGTAAAAACATTATATAGCATTGGAGAATAAGACTTAAAACAATCTAATTATTCTGTAATAGATAAATACTTGAATAATAAACTATTAACTTGGGCATGATGTCATCATTCTTGAAAAGGAGTTACAAAGTCCAACAATATGAGGAGTTGTCAGAAAAAATTCTAAATGGAAAAGCTCAACTGGAAATGGTATATAAACTATGGTGACAAGTTTTAAAATGTTATGTTGCAGAGAAGAACTAGAAGGAAATTTGGAGAAGTGAGAAACAATTATGTTGAGGTGAGGTCATGGGATGGGACTTTATTCTTCTATTTTTTAGATTCTCATTTCTGCTCTAACATATCCTATTTGAGCAGATAGGATGGATATAAGTGC